AAGTGGGGATAAGGCAGGGATGTTAAAACACAGCAGTTGCACTGCTATTGCTCGAGACACACAAAACACTGTGATGGAACAGATGAGGCTGCAGATGTGCAGCAGGGCTGGGAGAGGAGACTGGATATGTGGAATGAAAAGAGCAGGGTGGGGGAGGTCAGGGCTGAGGGATGCCCAGAGAATGATGCTGTGGTTCTCTGAGGCAAAACTGTGAAGATTGGTATTGAAATAATGCTTACAAAAATAATCGAAAGCAAGAATCAAAGGACAGAAGAAAGGTCTGTGGCCATTTCTTCTTGTACGTAGCCATCCACCTAAAGCATCCCCATCCCAGGCAGCTGCAGACTCACCTCTCAGCTCCTGCAGCTCCACGCTGAGGCTCTCAATGTTGGAGTCACAGAAATCAAGGTTTTCCAGAGTCTCTGCTCTCACCAGCTCATCCTGCTGCTCCTCCAGCATCAACCTCAGCTCAGCCCGGGTCTTGCCATAGGCCTCCAGGTCTCGCTCCACCTCTCCGATCCTCGAGAGCAGGATGGAGCGGGGGGAAGCCGACACTGCCCAAGGCGGCTCCTCGCGGCCTTCCTCCGCGCGCTGCTCCTGCCTGCTGGGCTGCAGCGGCGCAGGGGCCGCGTTCCTGCGCTGGCTGCTCGGCGGAGGCCGCGGCGCAGGCCGGGAGGGCTTCACCGAGAACGACAGAGACCTGCCTTTGGGGACCTGGCCGCCCGGCACGTGCCCGGCGGTCGTCGCGAGGGTGCTGGGCCGAGGAGGGGGTGGCCTCAGCACCTTCCTCCTCTCTGGCTGCCGGGAGCGAGGGGCGCACTCAGGAGACCCACGAACGATGTCCTTCTCAGAGCTGTAGTCCAAGATGGAGAAGTGGCGACACACCTTGTCCTGCTCACTGCCAGCACTCGACAGGCTCTTCTCAAACTGTGCCAGTTGCTCTGTCAGTTTGGAGTCAAGGTCTGTGCAGGTGTCTCCCGGCACCACCAGTGGGGAGTGCTCCCCCCAGCTCCCAGGACATGTATCTAGGCCCACAGGGGCATTGCCCAAGCTGGAGGAACAGGATTTGGACTTCTCCTGTTGACTGTCCACCCAAATGTCAAGGTCCTGGGCACTGCTCTGGCTCTCCTTGGGCTCTGATGCTGCCCCTGCCCAGCTGTTAGAGGAAATCGCCTTCTTCCTATAGGTATCTGGGGGTGAACAGGAAGATCGTGGGGGCACAGTGGGACTGTCTCCATCATGTTCAGGCAGGCCATGAGTTCCTGAATTTCCTGTGGAGGCTGACATGGTCCCCCCAGGCTCCAAAACCTCTGCTTGGTCAGGTCTGCTGCTCTGCAGGAGCAGCAGTGGAGCAGAGGGGAGGCCATTGACTGTGTTTGCGCCGCCCGAGGGGACAGAGTCTGCTGAGTCTTTGGGAAGTGGCCCTTGGAGTTCTGTGTCAGGAAAGACTTGACTCTCTCCCAGATTTTTGCCTAGAGGACTCTCTGCCTTCCCTGCTGTGTGAGACAGACTGGTTTCAGGCTCCGAGTGCAAAACAGAGCCATCCTCCTTTTCCCTGCCATCTTTCCCTGGAAAAAGCAGAGATTTGGAACATGTGCTTTCTGTGTCTTGACAGATGGTCACTCCACAGCCGCCGCCACCTTGGGGATTCCCAGCACTCCCCTTTTTCATGCAGGAATCAGAGGCTTCCAGCCTCACAAACCTGTGTGGAAAGATGCCACGTTTCCCCCTCAGCTCCCCTTCTAGCCAGCCATCCTCCAGAATTCCTACAATATGAATCCTGTCACCGACATCAAAATCCAATTCCTTGGATTCTAGAGCTTGGAACTGATAGAGGGCAACACCATAGGTGCTCCCTGGTTCCTGCCCCGCTTCTTCTCTGCTCTCTTCCTCCTTGGGGGGCATCTCCACTGTTCCGTTGGTGGCACATGGTCCTGTGGGCTCTGGATCCTCTGAGGTTTCTGCTGTTCTCAAAGGACTAAGCAGCTCCACAAAACCCTCTGGAAAGATGCCCCTGTGGCCTCTGAGCTCCCCCTCGAACCAGCCAGGCTCTGGGATGCCAACAATGTTGATCACATCCCCTTCCCTGAAGTCCAGTTCCTCTTCTAGCTGGGCAGAGAGGTCCATCAGGGCTCGGGCTTGGCCCAGAGAGTAGGCAGGCACCTCCAGGAGAGCGCTCTGGGATAGCTGATGGCTCCGAAATGAAAGGCACAGTTCCCGCACACATGATGAGGGAAAAAAGCCCTTAGAACCCCAGCTGCTTCGGCCCTGGAGCCAGCTGGAGGCCAGGGAGCCCCCCAGGATCACCAGGTCTCCTGCAAGGAATAAGATAGATGAGGTTAAAGATTGGCCCCCATGGTTGCTTCTCGCATCTTGTTCCTGCATCTCCATGTCTTTCTTGGCTGTGGATAAACCCCGGCACTCTGCAAAGAAAGCAGTGTGCACTGGGGATGCACAAGAGCATAGAAGGGAGGTAAGGTATGAAGCATCATCAGCCTCCAGCATTCACAAGGTCCCTGCTGGATGTGATATAGCCTGTGAAATACTAGGAAATTCCCTCGCTTCCATGATAGGGAGAATGCTGTGACTAGGTCCACCACATGCTTCTGGAAGGAGAAGTAGGGGTTACAGGATGCAAAGCAACAGAAAGGGAACAGGGATTACCTCTCTGCAATGACAAGCTTCCCGGCTCTTGAGATGTGAAGTCACTGGTACAAACAAACAGTTTTTCTCCCTGCTTCAAAGGGGGAATATCCACAGGTTCCACAAAGCTGCTAGGAAACTGTCCTGAAATGAGAAGCAGTTGTCAGCAATGAAGCTTTTCTGTAGCCCACTACCACTCCTCCACCCTCCTTCCAGATCTTGGGATCTCCTCCTCTTGCTACTCAGGAACCAAGCCCCTCAGTGTGCCTCAGCAGCAGCCACCTTGGGAAGAAGAATGGGTTTGGGAGTCAGGAACTCCTGAGGCTTTTGAATGCTTAAGAGCTAGAAGAAAACAGAAAGTGTTGACTGTTAGACATTACCAGGATTGTGCCACCAGCACACGGTTTCTGGCAACAGACATACTAGTTTTCCTTACTTTCACTGCTCATTTCCAAATGCAGGGGACAAAATCAGGACTGTGATCCAGAAGTGCTTGACCACAGACCTGCATCTCATGACATGGGCACATCTGCCTTGTGCTCCCCACACTGTAAGGCACAGACCACACAGGGCCTCAATGCCCAGTCTGGGCTGCCACTCCTGGGAAAGCCACATCTGTGAGTCACAGGCTCCATCACTGCTGTGTCACTGCTGACATTCCAGAGTCCTTCCCTTGTTTATCACCTCCGTGCAGGTGCTTCACCCAGTGTCGCTGCTGGAATCACAGCTATTCTGAGTAGGTCACTGCCAGAGAGAACAGTGCACAATTTTTGGCCATTTTACGTAGCCACCAATTTCAGTCCCCAGAGCACTGGAGTTGGCACAGCCCACAGTAACGGCCACTACAAATATCATTCCAATCTTCTGTAAATTGTAGCAAGGAGGAATGATCAGGTATGGGACAGTAGCATTTCCAGCATTCACTCATGATGTCCACTCAAGATGATGTTCACGTTCTCCAAGGTCCTGCAAGACCTGATGATCACATTTTTTTTTTCCTCCCTGGAAATACGATATCCCAGAAACCGAGCACATTCCCCTGGCATTGGCAGTTTGACAACTGCTGTCACTAACGTACACTGTGAACAACAGCCCACCGGGTTCTCATATCAGTGGCTCCCTTCATGGTTTTAGCCATTTCTACTTTTTTTTCTCATGTCTTAAGTTTCCTGCTCTGTAAATGGAAATAACCTATTGCTGTTTGAAATGAAGTATTAGAGTTACAGTAATTATTCCCCACACTGTGCTAAATATTATTGTTGATAGGCTGCAGCACCTCCATAGCTTCTATTAAAAAGTGCTATTTTAATCCCATAAAAATTTAGCATAGAAAACTGTGAAGAAAACTTCAAGAGTCGCTCCAAGGAAAAGCCGAAATACATGTGCTATTGAGTTCAATGTCATTAAAAACTATCCTGTTTGACTTCTGTATGTTTCTTTATCTTTGAGCTACGATACACATCTGCTTACTGCTTCTCCATCTTCCAGAGAACAAGCACCTCGGCTCTGTTGGGAGGCAAAACTGAGCTACTGGTGACTTCTGCAGTAGCAGTTTGCACCCAGCAACTCCAGTAGTTGCAGGATCACGTGCTCTTCAATGCCATTTATCAGCTACGTGAAGCACAGGAGAAGAGTTCTCTCCACCTTTGCTTCTGTCCACCTTAGCTGTACCCAGGGGACATGCACCAGACAGCCTGCAGCTGCCAGCAAGCTCCAAGCAGAATTCCTAGCCCTCACAGTTAGGGATGAAACTGCAGCCCCACTCTCGTGCTGAGGAGAGAGTCAGGCGGATACTTTGAAGTGGCCTGGTTTTCATCTCTCTGAGAGCTCACACATCCTCTCAACATTGTTATTAATATGAAGAAGAGCTGCTTAAAAAGGAGTACAAGACCCTTTAAGTGATTCATTAAGAGCATTTTTGCTGCTTCAGAAGTTTCTAATACCTCTCCAAAAGCTGAACAGTCTCGCACTCTGCTCAGTCCCCCACGCGCTGATGGCAGCTCGTAAGGAATGCTTTAAAGCAGAAGGGCGGAAGGGGGCTGAGTTAAAGGGCTGCGGAGGGGACATTGATTTTGTCGCTGCGTCTCCCACTGACTTGACCTGAAGGGTCACTTGGCGCTTCTACTCTCTGTGCATCTGTTTCCTCTCTCCCTTGCCACAGCAAGTCAGCGCATAAACTAGCCGGGAAATGGGCTGTCCCACCACAGAGCACGAAGCACCTACCATTAAACAGCTCTAATCAACTTAAGAACTGACTGTCTGCCAAAAACAAAAAACAACAAACAAGTTGGTTTATCTGAACGCTTGTTGCAAAGCTGGCAGGAGATAACTGACAGGGAACTTGTACCTTCAGTCCCAAGCAAAAGGCTTCATAAAATGAATCTGCTCCTGCACTCCCTGCTGGAGCAGTGCTAGCCAAGGGAAGGAGCGCAGCTGGTGGGGCTGATTAGCTGGGCACTAATTAGTGTGCACCTGTGCACCCAGGTGTAGGCACTTTCAGCTCTTACCTGTGACGCCTTCCTTTTTGCCAAGGAGCCAGAACTCGTCCACCACGGCCAGGACCTCGATGACGTCTCCCACAAACAGGGGCAGCTCCTCAGAGACGCTGGGACAGAAGTCAAAGACCGCTCGTACCACGGAGCCAGCCTCCATCGTGCGGGGTCCAAAGGCAGATCAGTGCCTACAGCTGAGACACAACAGCAATCTGTTATCAACAGGACACACCTGAGATTACCACGTACACCCACACAAAGGAAAAATCCTTCCCAAGAAAGAAATGCAGGAGCACTTTGAGATAGCCTCACCCTGAGCACACCAAAACCCCTTTCCAGGCATCAGAGTTCACTGCCGCAGCAGCTGAGGAACATCCCCAAGTCCAACCTGCCTGGTCCAACCTCTCTGGATCTTTCTTTTGGGACATATATTTGTGCCAGCATGGAGGGAGAAGCAGCACAAAAATGTGGAAATGACTTCCCAGCAGGAAGGAAGCGAGAGGAGGCGAGGAAGCCCAGCGCTTCCCTGACAGGCCGGCCTGGGGCACGCAGCCTGCGGGGCCTGCACAGGGCGGGCAGATCCCCACGTGCGCCGCACAGGGCACTGTGCTGTAGGAAGCTGCCGGCGGGCAGTGTCCGCCAGGGAAAGCAGCCCATTCTGCTGACGGGACGGCTCTGCCCCACACGCAGGACTCCCCTCGCGGCACGAGGCGGGTCTGCGCGTGGCAGGAGCGCTTCCTCAGCGCCGCGCAGACGGCCAGGCGCTTCCCCAGGCCCGCGGCCCGCGCCGTGCTGCTCACGGCTTGGGCTCACGCCAGCGCGAGGGGAGCGCTCTGCCCCCGCCGGGCTCCTGCCCGGCCCCTTGCTGGCCTCTCTGTCAGGCCGACTGCTGTTGGCCGCCTTCCCCTCAGCACGTGAGCTCCTAGGGACACAGGCGCCCACTTTGTCACCAGCATTGTGCTGGCGCTGCACACAAAGAGCCCAATATCCGCAGCAGGCAGCACTCCGCCACCACAGAGGGATGAATGGACTAGAGGGAATCAGGGACACAAAGGCTGCAGTTCAGGATAGCAGCAACCTACTGAGGCAGAAAGAGCAACAGCGTTAAAAACATGACCATGTGGAGAAGGGGAAAAGTACCATCAATTAGTCTGGAAACACTGAGGACAAGTGAGTAGCCAGAGCTGCTCGAGGCGGGGCGGCTGGGCAGGCTGCACGTTCGGATGGGCGCAGGGCAGGAGCACTAAGGTGCATTGGCCACCTGGGGCCGCCCCGCAGACAGTCTGTGGGGGCTGACAGTCCGCAGGCACCATGGAGCTCACTTGTCACCTCAACACAAACACCTTGCAGCTGCGGTGGACAAGCCAAAAAATGAGACAGGGCATTGAGAGAGACAGGCAGGATCACAATTATCCTGCTGTGTGCCTATCAATTGCAGTTATAATAAAACACTGTCACTAACATGTTCATATGAAAAGTGTTCCTTCAGAGCCAGCCCACAATGCAAGAAAGCATGAAGTGATTTCTAAAACTGTCAAAAAAACCTCCAAAACCCCAAAACCCAAGCGGCTCATGTTCTCTCAGTGAGGAGTGGGATTCCTCCCTGACAAAGGAGTTTCGCATATAGGCCAGTGGAAAGGGAAAAGGGAATCTGGAAGCATTACATACTGACAACAAGAGGAACCTGAAAATATTCTCCATTAACTAAGTGCTTAGAGTCTGAATGTAAACCCTAGGATGACAACTTGTTTTTATTTTGTAGGAGCCGCTCACTGACCACAGGAACAACGAGAGGAAAGGAGTGTTACAGTCACACAGGCCAGCACAGGTGAGAGTCACCTTGGAGGAATGCAAGCATCAGTGAGCACAGGAGATGCTCAGAGAGAAGAACAGGAGACAGGCACATACAAACTCGGATCAGAGTTTTACAGAAATGTCTGATGAGCCCCCACTACTACCCCTACTCCAGAAGTATCAGATCCTTCATTTGCACAACTTTGTCTACAAGCAGAATCACCCCCAAATGTCTCCTGCCAGCTGGACCCAGAGAAGGTTCCAGGTCAAGTTACACCTGAGGAGCCCCTTGCCAGTCAAGAGGACAAATCACAAGCCCCTACAGCTGGTACTTCAGGGGCAACTGTTCCCAGGTTGTCTGTCCCTTCCAAGTTCAGTGCCAGCATTTGGTAAACTGTCGTGTTTTAGCAAGGGACCAGGGAACTCCCCTGAGCACAGGCAATGAATCAGTCTTGTGGCGTTTGTTTGCTCCATAACATGATCTGAACACAAAATATTATGTTTTTCAGGATCTAAGCTTTGTTTTACTCCATGGAGTGCTGACTGCAGCATTTTCTCCAAACCTCATCCAGAGAAAGAAGCCTCCGAGCATCATCCAGAATGAAAACTTACTGATTTCAGGTCTTCGGGCTTAACGGCAGACACAAACATCATCCAGATCCATCCCAGATCTGCCTGGTGGGAATAAACATCCCGTGACAGCTCCTGCACAGGCTCCAGCAGGAAGAGCAGGCTGCAGGGAGCACTGGCCTCCGCCTGCAATCCCCGGTGAGTCACGGCTCCTGACTGCGCGCCAAGCCCCATCCCCTCTCACCTCCACCACGGGTAATCCCTCCTGCCGGGGGAGGAGAGCTCGTCCACAACTGAGCAAACACTGGAACTTCACCCTGCTGGAGGTCAGCGCTGCAAATCGCCGCAGAGCTGGAGGAGGACAGAATTCCTGCCTCCGCCTATCCGCAGATCCACATCCAAAGAAGGCCTCACTGTGCAAGTATGAAGTTGCAGCAAAGCAAGAAACTCGCGCTGCTGAGAACAGGCTGTCTCTGTCTCGCTGCCCGATCCTCCACAAACTAGGTAACACGTTCCAGCCACCCAACTTCAGCCCGTCTGCTTGCTAGCCCCAGGCCTCACACAGCAGTGTTGTGCAGCAAGGCAACGAGTGAATTCCCAGCGCATGAATCACGCTCACAGCCACGCTGCATGCATGCTCAGCACACATTAGCATTGCCTTTATGGAATAGAGCCTGCCCTATTTTGCCATTAGCTCTGGACTATGTTTGGTCCAGCGGGGGCTGATGAAACAGGAGATGAGAATGAAAGGACAGCTATTAACTCAGCTCCAATGCTTTTCTGAGATCTTCCAGCACAGACAGCACACAGCCAAGACAAGGTATTTACACACTGAATTGGATGACTTCTCATGTCCTTCCTCCTCCTCTCGCTTTGCAGATGAAACTGGACAGAGTAAAATGTCTCCAACAACAGACTCACCAGCACCAGGGTGGTGAATTACTGTCAGCTGTCTACGTGGGAGTAGACCTAGCGCATCTGTATGGTTTCTGCAGATTTTTGATGGTAAAGATGAGCAAACAGAGCTCCTGTACCGGAGAAACCTGGTTATCTTCAGCGATTTTGGTGAAAAACTCCACAGCAGGGATTTCAAGCACTTAAGAGATCAGGCAGTAATGCCAAAAAACCATTATAGGTTGATTACAAATGTATTAAGAATCCCAGGAACAGGGGAGACCCCAGGGTCCAAAGACGGCTAATCCAGTGCCATATCCAAGTAGTAGATTAGATGAAGAGATAAAGAGCAATAATGAACAGATGCCACAAATTTAGCGGCAAGAGAACCAAGCTTCACAGGCAATACCAACACCTGTTTCCCCCAAATAATAATCTTCAGCTTCTCACTCAAGGCTATGCTGTTAGGACTGCCCATGGTCAGCATTATAGCATAATTCATCAGTGCAGTAACCAGGAAACTAATATAGCTCCAAAGACACTAAAAATGTGCTGCAGGCTTCCACACGCACGCTTGCATTGCTCCAGACAAGTGTGTTCTTGCACAGCAGATGGCTCAGCCTCCTTGAAGACTTAGAGCCTGCCTGAGCAGTAGCCCAGGGAGGAGCTGGATTCCCAGAAATGCACACGTCCAAGTTTATCCCAGAACAAGCCAAGAAAACCAACAGACTGACACTGAAGTTATCTTTTTTTAAAACTGAAAAATGCCATGCATTTCACCTATGTCTCTTCACGCCTCCTTCCACTTGTCGTAACTTAATGCTTGCTCCCTGAAAACAGAATCCACCTCCAAAGACGGAGATGCCCCTCTACCCTGGTCAGTGCACCCTCCAGTCACTGGGTCCGGCCTCAGCAAGGGATTTGCTGCAGCTCTCACTGCGCTCTGGGATGCAGGATCAATACTCGATATTTAGGGCAAGGTAACAACGAGTGTCACTTGGCTTGTCACACAACTGTGTCATGAACAGAATCTCACTACCTACATGCCGAAGCATTTTCCCTTCCCTTTTCCTCTGCTCTTCCTACCTCCTTGTGGTCTCCACATCTGGATGTCCCTCCTTACCGCACTGCACGTGCAAGGCCTGCACAATCCCTACCTGTGCACCACAATCCTGCCTGTGGAGCAGCACCCTGCTCGGGGCAGAACGTGCTGCTCTGGGGAACTCTGCTTGACTGCATGTGCCTGGGTGGGATAAACAGTATCCCACTGAGCGAGGGCATCTGTCCCTCAGCTGGAGATAGAGCAAACGCAGGGATCCAGGCTCCACGGCAAACTGTGGAGCCGACCCCGCTCATCCTGACAGAAGGGACAAGGCAGCAAGCGGGGCAGAAAGAGAGGTCTAGTGATGAGGAGGAGAGGAGCCTTCTCCCACCAGGAGAATGCCAACTTCCGCAGCCTGACTTCTGATAGGAGACACTGCTCAGCTCAGCAGATCCCCAAGAGCTCTCCAGTGAGCTTCATAGATGGACAATGGGAAACATTCTCTTACATACTCATCTTCTAACTCCATATGGCTCCCAGAAGGAAGAGGAGTAATTTCATTTCCTTTGTCTGTGACCTGACATACAAAAATCATTAAAATAAATATATTTGGTTGCAATGGCCAGCCCTTGAGAAACAGGAAAGCCAAGAACAAGAGCTGCTTGAGCAACCTCTGGCCTCCCACAGCACAGTGTGACTGTTTGGGGTATTTGCCACATGTCAGACAGGTCATTCAATATCCTTTTTTTTTTTTTCTTTTTTTTTTCTCCAGCTGGACACTGGCTGGCCATCAGCAGGATGCAGATCAGGCCAGGAAGGCAGTATTTGTGCAGGGTAAGTGGAGGCTGGGGAGAATGGAAGAGGAACTTGTGTCATGCCAGATGGTTAGCAAATGAAAGTCATCTGGAAACTAGAGCACAGCATCAGGTTT